CTTAGGCTGTTAAAAAATACACTCACCATAATTTCGAAGAAAGACTATATCCAAATCCAATCCGCATTTACGATACGAAGACTTCCGGCGTGACCTCGGGTCGGTTGCCGAAAGAAATCCGTTGAACTGGTGTACAGTGAGCTCCAAGTACGGGTCAGAACAAGCGAGGTAGTGTGTGAATACAGGCAAATTTCATRGCTTAAAGACGCGAAGACTAATCTCAAATGCCACTTTCTCGGTTCTATAGGGATGTGAGAGAAGGGTCATGACTAAAATTTGGCGCTGGAAAGAAAATTCGAAGACGTACAAGGTTTCAAAGACTCGTGATGGCTCGCTTTTGGATCCCGAGTTTCCAACCTCTTATTTCTTACTGGTGGGRGAAAAAATCCTTAAAACGGGCTAAATTCAAAAAATAACCACGCAGAGCGAAAGAAGTGCTATTTCTCAATGATAGGGTAAAATTTCGAAGCTTTATTTCACGTTTTGATGATTTTATTGAAATTTTTGTTGAATCCCCATACATTTCCTTATAACAGGACACCACAGAAACCAAGCTTGGGCTACCTGTGATCCGAGAAACGAACCTGAAGCACGCCATTTTGAAATCATGGCGCGGCTAGTTTAGAGGCTGTCCATAAAAGCCTTTTTTGTTAACGGTTTACTTTTATCACATGACATTGTTCAAATTCACCCGCCTAGGAAGAACATTTGCCATGCTGAAAAATCGTCTTTTTTTTTGTCCCGGCTTCCGAGCTGGTTTAAGAAGTACATGCGGTAAAAGTACCCTTGCTGGGTATTTTTTCTTTTCGTGTTAAAAAAAATACTCAATCTAAGAACTACTGAGCACCTAGAGGGTTGTGAAATAGCTACCATATTGAATAATCACCGTCGTGGAGTGAGCTTGATTGCTAAAGCATTACGAGCATTTAGGTCTTCCTCCGCCCGTATTCTAAATATCGGGGATACATTTCTTAGTCTGCGACGTTTTCAAAATGCATCAAGACTTACGATCGACATCAGCTCATTCCCATCGATGAAAACTCGATCTTTCATATCCGAAACTGAATTTGGTAGCAATTTGTCTTATTGTCATACAGTAAATACGACACAAACTTGCTGTGTCTACTAATTTAAGACACTAATCCTATCCTCAAAGGTGCGCGTTACTATACTTCTAAATCTACCATTATCTAAATCTACTCTTACAGCATACTAAAATATTGAGCTATCACAAATAAACACATCACATGACATTCAAATTGACTACATTTTCCCATCAAGAGAAAGCTACTATTACTTATCTTTAGGACCAAAGCCTCCTAATGACTCAGTGAATGACCTATCAAGGCTTTCCAGACGATTGCTAAACTCGGCTTGAATGCCTTTGAAGTTGACCCGAAATTGAGAATTGGAGTCGTTCATCTCGTTGTTCTGATCCACAGGGCAGTGGCTCTTGCTGGTGGTTTTGGTGTCGCTGCGGACGGGACCTTGTGGTTCATCGCTGTTTTCTTTCCCACAGAAAGTCTTCTCTTCATTTTCTTCTTTCTCTACCTTGACTACATTAAGTTCTTGGTCACTTGTGTTTCCTGACGTCGGAGAACCTTTGGGAGAAGGACGTTTTTCATCTTCTTGTTTACTACCGCCAACGGGGATTTCCTTGAACGGATTTGTGTGAGGCAACGAGGAGCTTTCCCCATCAGCGCGATTTGGAGTTTGCCTTTGCTCAGCCAGATGCCTCTCGTTCAAACCTCCTGGAAATTCAAAGGGGGCATGTCCTGGAAACGGGAATCCAAATGGAAACTGCATTTGAAAGAGGCGCATTCTTTCCACAGGCGACATCATGGCTGTCTGTGCTGCCAGAAGAGGATTCATGGCTGTCCGAAGCATTTCCGAAGCACTAAGCCATCTGCGCATGGCAAGTTGACTGTATTGTTCGCGGGGAAGACAACACGGGTTGTGCACATCAAAAGGGTTGCGAATAGGAGAAACATCAAGAGGATTGGACAAACCATCAAAACGCGGGAACATCACATCAGGGTACATAAACTCTGGAAATGGGTACATAGACGGTAGAGGTAGATGCATACCGCCAAGATTCATGAGCCCTCTTGCAGCATCCAGCCTGCTGTCAAAGTTACCGAGTGGTCTCCTTAGCAACCCATCTTCCTTAGTGTTTTGGTCTTCAGAGTTTGCCTTGACATTTTCATTCGCTGTCTCGGTTTTCCCTTCATTCTTAACTTCTGCTATTGACGGAAGATGGTTCGCGTTTCCGAAGCCAAACGGATGATTCTTCCGAAAGGCTTCGTACTCACTCGGGTGGATTTCGGAAGCATCAGCAAGGCTTCGGGATCGCTTTCTCATGGGAGATTCATCAGTGTCGATTTGGGATGGTTTTGTTTTCTGTTCATTTCGGATCATATTATGCATCCTGTTCTGATTGGCTGCCCCATACACACGGTCCTGCACACGAGATTCGGTCTCAAAACTAGACTTGGAGGAGTTGGACAGATCACTGATGTCACTTTGCATCTCCTGATCAGAGAGAGTGGGTTTAATGTTATTGGATACAGGAGGATGGCCAGAATCTGATGACGCAGTAGGCGAGGCTAAGGGGCTCAATGGAGGACGTGAATTAGGGTAGAGAAACGGTCCGACGTGAGCTGTTCGCATCATACTATGACTTGGATAAACACTACGCCTACAAAAGAAAAAGAAAATAGATTACATGCATTTGAATCCCATTTGAAGATCTTCAATGTTTTTTTCATGACGTTCCTCGCTCTAATAGCCTGAGAGGGGGAACTGGACCGTGAAAGTGTTTATATTGAAACAACATTGAATAGACCCCTTGCATGTGACGTCAAAGCAACTCAATTTGGAGGATAAAACAAAAGACCTGCTGCAAGGGGTTCATACCTCTTTACCTTGGGCGTAATGTTTTCCCATTTCAGACCACGTGTCATTCTCAAGAGTATCATTTCTTTGCTATACAGTTGCGCATGAGAAGACACATGAATATGGTTACAACTCAAACAAAGAATCTTATTCTCAAGGGAATGACACGTGGTCTGAGATGGGAAAACATTACGAACAAGGTAAAGATGTCTATTGGCCATTAATTGTAAGATCCAACAGAACCCATAACATACTATCCTACCTGTTTCCCAGTGGGTCACTGTTAGTTCTTTCTAATCTCTTATGTGCTGCTAGTGCGACTTCTTTTTTAACCGACGAACCAGAAGAACCATTATTGGAGTCGTAAGCAGGGGAGCAGATGGCGAAAAGTCCGTATTCTACGACGTCATTGTCTCGCTTTCGGGTCTGGATGGCGCGAAGGCGACCGCTGAGTCTGAAAAGCTAAAAGAAAAACGAAAGAAGAAATTAAAGATTAATGGGAACAACCGAAGATACATGTGAAAAAAAAAAAAAAAAAAAAAGAAAAAAAAAAAAAAAAAAAAAAAAAAAAAAAAAAAAAAAAAAAACGTACACCAGAGGCAAGCAAAGGACGAGTGTTTATAATTAGAAGTTAAAAAGTTTTGTCATCCTATTCTAAAAAGGTACAAATAATTCTCCTAATCATGCTAACTAAAAATGACAAGACATGTTGGTGGGAGGATGAAAAAGGTTTTACCGCGTTGCGCATTTGCATGTTATCTCTTTCAATAGTTACAGCTATGCCTTCCGTCACTATCGACACACACCACCCGCACCCGACACACGCACCACGCACGATGCACACCAAACATACGCACGAAAACCGCACGACTCTCACCCGACACACGCATGACACACGCCCGACTCACACCCGACACACGTACGACCCACACGCACCCACTTATCAATTTACCTTGTAAAAGCCTCCACCGTGATTCAAAGTACACTTCATTCGACAGGTAAATGACCGATTGAGTTTCTCGAGTTCGCTGAGGTCTGATTTGCCATTCTCAGTAGGTTTACCAGACGTGGAGTCTCGTCGTCTTGGTATTTCTTTATCGATCTACAATAGAAACAATGCAGTGAACATTTTGTTTTACGATAACCAATCGCCCGTGACGTGTCTGTACTGAAATATAAGTATTTTAAATATAAGTATTGTACTGCGTACCTTGGTATCTTTAGAAATATTATTAGGCCAGGCTAACTTTAATTTAACCATGTCTTGATCGTCTATATGTAAGAACTTGAACATGCTTTGGTGTATAACGGCTGCCTGTTGTACGATAAAAGGGAAAAATAACAATTAGATACAAGAGGGCAATTCATCAATAAAAAGGGGGATAGAGAGGAAAAATTATAAGAATATTACTATAGCAAAGGCTATCGGCTATCCTTGGATCAATAATATCCACTGGTTAAGGATTTATCCGTTGGATAGCGCTATCCATGCATCCTTCGTACAACCGTAAAGTGATGGTGCAAAAAGCGCACCCATCCTGACGATACACTTTTTTAGTTGGCAACATTTATGGAACGAAAAAAAAAAAAAAGAAAAGAAAAGAAAGAAATGAAACGATAAACTGTTAGAAAGTTGTAGAAAGTTAATGAAGCGCAATGATCTTTCAATAATCACAGTTGCTAAGTACTTCATTGCCCACTCGTCACCCACACTCGCCTCTATTGTTGTCTAACGACTACAGCTGTAGAGGCTTGAGCTTCAAGCTTAATTCCACCATCGCATGCAACTACATCATTTCAGCCGCACGCAACTTGATTACGTCAAGCGAAGAAAAAACAACTTTAAGAACGGGTGCAAATGACTTTATTTCTTCTAATGATTAATTTTATTGTGAATTTGGAGATTTTCCTCGACGAATTTCGTSCAGCTAAGGCAACTACATTTGGTGTCTATAGTAACACTTACTGGACCAGCCTCATCATGTCCTGAGATGTCCTTGAAACTCAACAACGACTGGATTAAGAGCCAAAGAGGGTCGAGTGGTTCTTTCATAACAATGACGATAAATTATTCTTAATTTTTGACTCGTTATCCGTCAGGTTATTAGAAACTGTACTTGTGAAAGCTCTTAGATGTCCATTTAGAGTTTTACTCAAATATTCTTTGTACGTGGGGATAATATTCTCATATATGAGTCTTTTTTTCGCGTGAATTTGGATGAATTAATTAAAATTCAAGCTTTCGGTTGGAATCGGTCCATCATCAGGGAATCAACGACAATGGAACTCAGCTTTGTAGCATGCCAGGAATTGTCAGAGAGGAAAGAAAAAAATAGAAAAGGAAAAAGAAACGAAAGGGAAAAAATTCAGTCAAACAGTCACAAAAACCCATACACACCTGTGAATAACCAAGAAAATCTCGAACATTTTCAGACACGTAAAAAAGTTGTCCCTCTTGTGTAATAACGACAATGAAACCATCTAAAGCCTGAAAATAGAAAATAAAGATTAATGATACTTATTAAGTTAGAATCCGGAAAAATAGAAACCACGCGCATGGGTTACCTTTGCTTTTTAAATTACCAGATTACGAAAACATTTGTCTTTATTTTAATTAATTTATTTTTTTCATGCAAGAAATATCACAATTATCCGAGAATTTTCAATTTGTTGGAAGAAAACTACTCTTGGTTTTAGCTTTTGGCACAACCTTTTCTTTCTAGTCTTTCTTTCGTACAAATCCATTGGAAAAAACATAGGGAGCCCAATTTTGGCGCCAAAACGAACACAAGGGGTGAAAAAGCGAAAAAGTTGATAAAAAAGTTTAACAAAAATAACAGAAAATAACGATGATGGACTTTAAATGTGCAGAAAATAGGTAAGAAAATCTATATTTCGTGGTTTTTATACTTGAATAAGCAGGTTTTTGGGGGGGCATTAAGTCTATATAAGCTTACATTTTACAAAGAAGCTAGCTGTTTATCAAGAAGAATCATTAGTTGTTATAGAGAATAATTTTAGCTTATATATCGTTATTGAAAAGTTATTATCAGTCATGAACACTAAGCTGGTCATAAACCTTAACTACTTAAAACTTTAAACTCTTAGAAAATGCTAATGGTTAAAAAAAACTGGCTACAGCTCACACAGAATTTCACATAAACTTTCTTATTTAAGCTCGTATACTAGCTGTTTTTACTTATGAATTTAGCTGACTTTTTAATAAAAATTATCCATTTTTCATCCCTTCAACATGTTAATCTATTAAACTTAGGAAGTCATGCGATTTTGAGATTATTGTAAATACCTTTTAATACCCTTTGAACAAAAGAATTGTAGCTGCATTCCTAATTAATCACATCAGGTGATCTAATAGGGACTAAAGGCAGGATAACAGAACTAAAACGAACATTTAGTTAGAAAATAAAGACTCCTTTCAAAACTACCTTGGATGTATTGCTAGTGGGAAAATACAAAAGGAATGACACAAGTTTCATTTCGAAAAAATGAGATATTTTTGCATTTTCCTGTTAGCCAAGCTTATGATCACATCCAAGATTTTGATTAATTGGGATTAATTTCTATTACGAGTTTATGAAGACTAAAAACATTTAAGCTTGTTTGTTYGTCTCTGTTGTAAATAATCAGTGCAAAGTCCTTAATCTGTCAAAATAAATAATAAATAAATATATATATATACATGTAGGTATGCTAACATATAATATCCATATTAATGATCTCCGTATTAATAATCTCCAAAAACACTCTTGTCACTCATGATTTATCATGCATTTATAAATAATTATGAGTTAACATAATAATGCTCTTCGTTCTATCACTGCTCAATCACTTTTTTCATGTGCATTTATACCTCATAATGTAAGCCTTGAAAAGAGCTTGCCGAAAGGATACTGCACTTGAATATTAGTTTAAAATAACATTAATCTTTGCCATTACCTGCCATTATTCTCTTAAATGATGTTTAGAGCATGGGCAGGTGGCATTACACTTTTTGACCTATGATCCCATCACTTTATTACACTTCAATGTAATCTTCCACCATATCATCAGAACAAAGGCAAGTTAGCTTGAGACTAAGGAAAAAATTAAGTATATTGTCCAGGAATCACAATATCGGCCAGCTGCCACTTACACATGTTATTATTCACTATGTTACCGGTATATACCATACACCCTCAGGCCATCCTGGATATATTCCATGCGACACATGTATTTTAAGTTATATAATATAATATAATTATTAAACATCTTAAACTGAAATAACCTCAGTTCTAAACTAACTTGAAAGTTTGAAACTTGAAATTTTGAACACAATTATTGATACATTCCATCAACAAATGCTGGTTTAACATTTGATAGTTGCCTAGCTTAGTGTACTGCTATGCTGGTTTAACATTTGATAGTTGCCTAGCTTAGCATACTGCTATCTTTATTGTTTATTAATGTTTGCAAGAGTTACTATGGTGTTTTGTGGTTAGAGGATTAAAGAGGTCCTAGYTCTTGATATGTGCGTATAAATTTTACTCGTGGCCAGTAGATGTACAAAACTAAATACTTATTATTATTATGTTAATAGATGTCGTAAAAAAGACAAGTGTACAACTAATGTTGTTAATTTTAACAATAAAACAACTGCTTTATCCCAATTAATGGCACATATTTAAGAGGCTTCCTGAAATAGCCCTTACAATAAAATGCATTTTTACCAGTTCACTTTTCTGTCACAGAAAAACTCTCAAACAACTTTTAATTAGTACTTTTACATGCACCATTGCTAAACACTATTGGAATTTTTATTGATGTATATATTTTCAAGAAAAGGTTGTCGGAGCCAATGGAGCCAAATTTTATGAATATCCTGAAACAACCTCTGGGCTGATCAAAGTCAGGGCACGGCTAACTCACAGATCAAACTCCGAAACAGCCTCTGGGCTGATCTAAGTCAGGGCACAGCTAACTTGCAGATTGAACCCTGAAACAGCCTCTGGGCTGATCTAAGTCAGGGCTAACTTACAGATTGAATTGGAATTTAGCTTTCTAGGTTTTGGAGGAAGGAAAACTGGAGCAGCCAAATAAAAAATACAGAGTATAGGAGTCGAACCTGGAGTGTGAGGCTTAGTGCACTACTAYATTGAAACACTCATGCTAGCCTATAACCAGAATATATCAATTATTGTGATCCATAACAAAGATTGTGACTGGTCTACCTGTAGTGAAGGTGTTAACTGAACATGTAATCTAATCTAATATATTCATGAATGTATTTCTCCCTACCGACTTGTACCATTGCATGATGAAGGAAACTGTTGCTTATATTTATATGCCATGTGGTGAGACCAACAGTGTATCTTGGTTAAAGATACATTTATTTCCTATTCACTACAATTTTTATTTTCATTTTTCATTCACTCTGAAAATTTCATTTTCAAAGATCTTATTTATTTTTTAGATCTTTTTTCCTAAGTTTACCTTGGCTGCCTAGAAAGATAAGAAAATATTACATTTAATCTACCACTTTTCACAAACAAGAAAACTTGTATTTTCATTTCCAAAATATGATTTTTTTTTTTAATATTAGCATATGAGAACCAAACCAAGAAGGACTTTTATAATTCAACTTCCTCCGAAAAAAAATTCTTTTAATAATAATTTAAAAAATACATAAATAATCTTAGTTGTAGTAGATTGTAGCAGAAAAAACCATGTGGTACCTTAACAAGTTCATTCCACTTTCAGCTAATCCAGTTAAGTACTATTACATGTTAGTTCTTTCATTATCTGTAACTTTACATGCTTTTCAATACACCACCAGCTTGTCTTTCATTGTAATTTTTTCAAAGACATGGTGTTTAATTTATAAGCAATCTTATTGAAAAGAAGCAAGAATAAAGTTCTTTATAAAAAATCTAAAAAAAGTTTTAAAAAAGTAATAGAACCTTTAAAAAAAAAATTTTTTTGAATATAAATTTCTGTCATATCTATATAATTTATATGTACCTCAATGTTGACGATACCAACAATAGTCCACTTCTCTTTGCATTCTYGTTTCAGGCAAGGAAATATTAGAATTCAGTACTCCATTTTTGGGTTTCTGGATCTAGTTATTTAGACTAATAGATTATTCTACTGGGCTATTGGAATAAGGCATGCCCTGACTTAGATCAGCCCAGAGGTTGTTTCAGGTTCAATCTGTGAGTTAGCCATGCCCTGACTTTGATCAGCCAAGAGGTTGTAATTGAGGGTTTGATCTGTGAGTTAGCCATGCCCTGACTTACATCAGCCCAGAGGTTGTTTCAGGGTTCAATCTGTGAGTTAGCCGTGCCCTGACTTTGATCAGCCCAGAGGTTGTTTCAGGGTTTGATCTGTGAGTTAGCCATGCCCTGACTTAAATCAGCCCTGAGGTTGTTTCAGGGTTCAATCTGTGAGTTAGCCATGCCCTGACTTAGATCAGCCCAGAGGTTGTTTCAGGGTTTGATCTGTGAGTTAGCTGTGCCCTGACTTACATCAGCCTAGAGGTTGTTTCAGGATTCGATCTGTGAGTTATCCACCCCTGACTTTGATCAGCCCAGTTGATTTCAGGGTACTGATATAACATTGAAGAAAGTTTTTAAGGAACAAAGATATATCGTTGAGTAGTCTTTATTACAGATGTTTAATGTTTAAAATCCTTTTCCTTATTTTCATTCACATAATGCTAACTTGTACTACCTGCTGCTAAATACGAGAATATAAACTCAACCATGTGAAGAATAAAAAAGATTAAAAAAACATACAACATGTAAAGACGTTAAAACAAAACATCAAATATAAATAAAAAAGTTAAAAACTATAATATTATAATCAGAAATGCATTTTCAAGTATCTTGCACTAGTAATGAATCAAAATTGAAACAATAAATCCATGCCACTTAAAACAGACATTTTGTGTTATGTAAGACATATATGACTAATTTAATGTCGTCCACAATAACCTTTATTTAAAATCTCTGTATAATCTTATTCCTACATTGTATTACATTTAATTCAGAAACAGCTGTAAAACACTAGTTTTTTTAAATGAAAAATTTGTTGGGAAAGTAGTTGTAATACAATATAAGATGTGAGACTGAATTCTGTCATAAACTATGTTGTCTTATCTTTTTTTGTTTCACAATACAAGAATAGAAAAGAAAATCAGGGCCATTTTCATTCCTTTCAAGGCATTTCCCCCTCCTTTTCATAGCAGATTGCCTGAACAATGAGCTACATTTAAGTGGACAGACCTCACCTTTCTTTATGCTTATAGAAATTACTTATTCTCTTACAATCTAGATGATCAATAGCTATTAGGTAGTACTTTAACTGGACATACAGCATGTTTGATAATACATCCAGTAAATAGTGGTGCTTTAATGTCCGGGCTTTTATCATAAGGGAATCAAAGGTTACGGAGTAATACTGTAGTTTCCTCTCACCTCTGAGGTCTCAGATTTGATTTCCAAACTCAACTTAACATGTGAGTAAAGTTTGTTAGATTTTTCCTTTGATTTAATGTTTTTTCTTTGGATGCTCTAGATTTTCTTCCTTCGCAAAACCTAACAAGCTAAATTTTAATTCGATCTGCACATAAGCCAGTGTACTGATTATGTACTTATTGACTGAGTTAGGTCGGGCCGTACGGGAAAATATTTGGCTCGAGGTGATGCCGTACAAATGACCGAGAGCCAAATATTTTCCCATACGGCCCGACCTAACTCAGTCAATTAGCATTTTATCATATGACCCTCACGAAAATAAAAATAATTAAAAAAAAGAAAGCGYGCGGATTCGAGCAGGGCCGGACGGGTTTTTCCAGCCCGCTTACGTCAACCCGTCCGGCCCCCATCACGTGACTTTTTCCAATGGTTTTATTAGAGTGCGTGAGCAGGGCCGTACGGGTCATATGATAAAAAAGCTGAAGGCTTACCTCAAGAGATAATTGTGAAAATAAACCATTGCCTTCAAATTCTCTAACAAGATCTTCACAGGTCTCTTCCTGGCCATTTTTACCATTTACTGGAAAAGAGAGAGAATACGATCTAAATTGTCAAGAAAGCCAATAAAGTGTTCAAATAGAAAAAGAACAAGTAGTCAATTAGAAAAATAATATTTCAAACCACAATGGTGCATAATTTTAGAAATTGAATAAATTAACATCACAGGTCTACCAAATGTGTAAAGGTGGTTGTTATGTATAATAATGATGCTTATATCGATGTTTTACAACATTTCAAAGCTATCCTGAAAAAACATTCTGAAAAGAATTTTTTTAAATTTTAAAATTAAAATTTAAAATTTATTTTTAAAATTTTTAAATTTTTGAAATTTTTTGTAATGTAAAGACTCAGCTCTATGAACCAAGCTGATTTAACCAATCAAGCATTACAATGTTTACCAATTCATTACATTGAAATACCTTTTAATATGGTTTATTTTCGTTGTTTCATACACATAACAAGCCACATACATAGATATTTTAGAACATTCATTCTGACAGGGCAAATGACTTTAAGATTCAAAGAGGTCGAGACCTTTCTTAAAAGAACATCTTTTTGGATCCATCTACGTATCAGACTATAAATACGTGTTCATTCTTATGTAAATATAATTTCGCTTCCATTTAGAGATAATGCTTTTAAGAACCACGAGATCTTTTCCCAGAAAATACATCGCCGTTTTTTACGATAAATAGAAAAAAAGGAAAAAATATTCTAAAATTTTCTTGCGAACAGTCTTTCACTCACGCTGAAAAAGAGTCGGAAAAAAAACGAAGTTATAGTTTGCCTTTTATTATTATTACAGTTACCAGATACCAAAAGTGATGATATTCCAGGTAGCTTTGATAGAGACATTTTCTGGCATTGTTACCAATGCATACACACAGTTCGAAAGGTCAAATTCAACTGGGATAATGAAGAACAATTTCGTATACTGTAGTTACGCGAGATCTATTTCATTATCGCCGTGTTCCGTAGTACAGTAGTGTCTTATTCTTTCCAGGATCATAGAAGATTCAAATTTTCCCTTAAGAAAAAGATCTCAAACTGAGTTCTATCACTTGGGGCTAAGAATTAGTCATAAGAATTAGAGTGGTCGTTTGCGTCAAAGGACTGTAARCGCGAGTTTACAGTCTCTCTTTTGCTTCAGTAAGACATATAACCATATAAAATTGAAATTAATTGGATCAAGACTTTGAAAATTGATTCATCGTTTAATGCTACAGTTCTGTTTCATATGGTCAAAGATGGCCACACTCATCAGGAAAAGTAACAATGATAAACTATAATTAATATGAATCAAGTATATATATATACTGTATATATTTATATATATACATATATATATATATATATTCATATCATAAATTAATTGATTTTGTTTTGCTTTCTTTAAGGAAAATACAATGCCCTTACCCAGTCATAAGTACCTTCTTTTATAGTACCTTGTGTGGTGAACAAACAATAGGGGAAAAAATTTCAAGGTACTTCAAAATGTAAACATATTACAGCTTATTATTAAAGCTGTTACTAATATTGCATTAATCCCTTAAAAATGACAAAATTTAGAAATGTTCAAAAACTGGGTTAACAATATATTAATTGCACGAAATAGGGAGGACAGAATGAAAGCAGCAGCAAAGTTTTTCTATCCAAATGTTCTTAGTGAAGATTATGTAGTTATTCCAATCAACAGAAGGTACCTGTATTGTAATTTATAAAAGAAATTTATTTTTTACAATTTGTTAAGAAATTGTGAATCAACAAATCTTTTGTAATCAAATTGTTTATTTTTCAGTTTACATTGGCTTTTGTCTGTAAAAACTCCATGGTATGTATAGCTCACTATATGGATGACATTTTCAACTGGTGATTAGACTGTGCAAGTCAAACTGTAGCATATAAGAATTTACATTTCACCTTATGTTTTAGGCATATTATTATAATGGACTCCTTAACGTGTGACATAACCACAAGGAAAACTGAAATGCTGTATCTTGAAAGGTAACTTAAAATTGTTAGGTTACCTCAGTAAAAACCAAACAAAAGAATAAATAAATAAAGTTAATTTTATTTACTTAAAGTACACCTTTTTATCAAAGGTTTTTGGAAGATTTTTGCAAAACTAATGGCTTAGTTTCAAACACAAGCAAGTTGTCAAAACATGTGCTGAAGGTAAACAATGTAATGTGCATGTATCTTAGTGTGAACACTTTTCAATATAAAAAAAATATGTACAAAACGTTTCAATATTTACTACCAAACAGTGCTAATTAAACTAATTATAAAGAGCAACAGAATTATCATATGTTGCACACTTCTATTGTTTGTATCATTCGACTGAAGTTTATTATATGATTATTACTAGTGTTTAATCAATTTTTTTTGTATTCTCTATATAGGTACCACAGCAGCCACTAGATAGCAATAACTGTGGACTATACATGACCATGTTCTTAAAACATTTTCTTGAGGTATATAATTCTACAATGTTTACAGTTTTGGATTAATTATTTGTAAAGTCATATGTATTTTACTCCATTTTAGGACCTGGAAATATATGAAAGCAAACCCAATGCTTATGTACATGCTGTTCATGACTGGTTTGATCCAATTGCTGCAGAAAACAACAGGACTGAATTGAGAATACACCTAGAGTCTCTGTTCGAAAACAGATAAGATTAACAAAGCAGAAACATAAATTTTAATTGATTTAAGATCTTAACCTAATAACCAGGCTAGTAACTATAGATATATATTTTTTTGTGCATGATCCCAGGGCTCAAAATCTGATATTTAATCCTTAATCTCAAATATTACACTCATCCTTCTGCAGATCTCACAATTACTTTGTTACTAGCCTGCTATTTGAAGTAATTTTATAAACAAATTTCAAATTACTACTTAATTATGTTTCATTATTTTTAATAACACTTGGTTGCAAATTCACTAAACAAGCACAAACTGTTACAATATCATCTATGTAGGGTTTTAAGGTCAGAGGTATTGTTCCTTTTAGTATTGTAAACAATTTCAAAAGTCTAATCATTCTTTCAATGTGGACTCGTGAAGTGGCAATACGCCGTGTTGCTGTTGTTGCTTTGGCAGACACATGACCTTTCTTCATAACTGGAGGTTTAATTAAAATTGCATCATGTAAAGCAAGAAGAGCCCGAACGTTGAAGCCCTTATCCGCCATAACTTCATCATTTGGCTGCAACTGTTGCAAGAATCCACTTTTAGTTACAATTTCTTTGTCACTTATGCTACCACTATACAACTTTGAAATAAAATTAATATGACAAGTAGGTGACTTGGAGATAAGCAATTTAAACGTGTTTGCAGACTTATATTGACTGTACGTTGATCTCTGGAAGGATGGCTTTGAAGGTTTTTCTATATAAAACTCTGTACAGTCTATTATGGCTCTCAGGTTTTCTTTTTTCTTAAATCCTTTGGGTCTGGTTATTCCCTTTAAATCTGAGATAGTGGAGAAGGGTAAAAGGAACTTTAGTTCCTTACTTAAAAACAAAACCCAAGAAATAAATATTTGGCTGCCAGTTCTTGCACATACTCCAAAAAGGTCAGACAACATAATAATGCTTGGGCTTCGTCTTAGTCTCACAAGGGTAAATACAAATTGCTCCTTTGGTGTCAGCTTAGAAAGTTCTCTTCGTTGCTGAAATTAGGTAATAGATCAAGTTAATTTTTTGGCCAAAGTTTAGGTCCTTACTATATAGGGATACATGCACAAACATATCAATATACATAGTGCTATAACCTATACATATGCCCTAACTATTTTCATAAGAATACCTGAAGGAATAAAAACAAGAATTAGCATATACTATTTTTCTTGTGCTTGTATACTTTTGCTAATATTATACTGCTTATGTTGTGATGAGGACCACCTAGGCTTTCGTAAACTCAGTAACTTACTTGTAAATATTTATTATCAATTTTTCCTGTCTTTGTCTTTTTTGTCCCTTTCCACGTATTCATTCGCTGACTTTTTTCCTCGATGTGTTGGAAAATCAATTCAAAGCACTCTTTGGTCATCCCTAATATTAAAGTGCAAAGTTGTACAAGCATTCTTATTTTATTTATTTATTTATTTATTTATTTNTTTATTTATTTATTTTATTTAATCAAATTTCAAATACATTACATTCAGATTCAGTCTAATCTAGTGTATCTGAGCTAGACCAAACAGAATTCAAGATTCCTTTATATAGTCTAGCTGAGATTAAAAATATATACTATAGCCAAAAATATCAAAGGTTTCAAAGGTTTTTATTTTTCCACACACGAAAAAGCAAGAAAAACTAATTACGAATTAAATAAATTAAAAATACTATATTAATAATTAACGCAAATAAAGAATTCTAATGCTTGACAATAAATTATCACAGTGTCTTGATCTACGTGTACTGGTGTGTAATGACAAATTTTTTGAGGGTCCAGAACTTTCTCCATAAACAAATTCTTCATAAGAACATCACTTGAATAGGTCTGCAATCACACCAATCGATGAATGTATTTATAAATAACTAACCTACAACCAGAGTGACATTTTGTACTAGCTGACAGTCATGTAAGTTTAAATGTGTAAAGATCTATGTGTATTATTTCTAGAATATAATAACCTACGATACCTGAACACTGCATTCAGTGGTCGGAGTAGCAACTGTGTTCGTGCTTTTGTCGTAGTGTGTTTCCTCAATAGGTTCATCTCCGTCAATCCAGTCGATTTCCATCTGGACGTCCGCCACGATCTTATCTACGTCGACGTCGTCGAGCATTAGTGCTTGCAGTGCTTYGGCTGCTTCAAGCTCTTTCTTCAATTTCCCTTTTGACATATCGTTGTCGCCAAGCATTATCAAAGCCCTGGCTGCTTGCTTGTTATCACAGATTTTCTTGCTTTCTTTTTTTGTATTCTCCCTTTCAAGCGAGGATTTTCTTTTACGATTACATCGTTTGACCTACACAGAAAGTGAGTTATCGTAGCTGTGAGTAATTAAAAGAATAGCAGGATATTACTTGGTAAACTCTGCGAATAAAATCAAATCACCCTTACTTTTTCTTTACTTGCCACTGCAGATATGGGATTGGGGTAATCTTTTGTCGGTCCATTTTCTCCAACGAAGTGAAGGCTGCAAACATAACTATCCTTAGTACAGATAAACGTGTCGCCTCTGTGACACGCTAAAATCCATCTTTGTCTTCTCTCTTTATGTCTTTTTTCACCAGGAAAATGATAAAATTCTACCGGATCTCCTCTGCTGTTTTTGGCCCAACGTTCTGGGTATCTCGAGTCATTTTTGCAGGTTCCATACGCACATCTTTTTGTTATAACCATGATTTCAATTCAGAACTTCGTACAATTACACCAACTCTACAACGACTGAATGTCCGAACTTTCCGAGTTTGTTTACGTATTGGTCACGTGACACTACACAGGAATCCCTAGCGCCCCAAGGGTGAATACACCAATCCCGCTTGTCAATCTCCGTTGTAAAAGTAGCCAATCAGAAGTCAAACTTTGAAAACGCCATTTCCGGTTTTAGACGACGCCATTTTGTCGGACAAGTTATCAAGGTCTGTGGAGGTTGATACCTTTGATATCTGAGTAATATTTTCAGTAAATATTGCTTTGAGGCTTGCTATTGAAAGTTTTTAAGTTCCGAAAAATAACTAGAAGTATGGTCAAGCACTGCTGCTATGGTACTTGTAATTCTGATTCACGGAAAAGTGATATATCTGTCATGTTTTTCCCCTTCCCAAAACCCAAAACAAGGCATGAAGACTGCCTTCGTTGGATTAAAGCTTGTGGAAGGCCTCACAGCGATTTTAACATCCAGAAAATTATGAAGGACACATATATATGTTCAAAGGTAAGCAATAAAATCTGAATAAAATAACCAAAAATAATAATAAGTGTAAATATAACTGCTGACGAAAATAAAGATTTGATCTTTGTGTTGATCAGTTTACCTTTGTTTTGTTGTTTTGGTGAATACAGGCCTTTTTTCCCYGTCGCATAGCGTTTTGCCTTAGCCAAGATCATATTTACGACAGGTAGGGGTTTAATTTTGGTTCCTCTGGGCCTATGCCATTGYTGGGGTAAACTAGTACAAGACAAGGAAGTCGGTACTTCCTTCAGTCCTTTTTGCTGGTAGTGTATCAACSTGAAAACCAATGCAAGAATATGGGAACACGTTCCAGACATACTAAAACGAGATGCCACATTAGAATCTGATGATCTCACTTTTAAGTTATAAAGAAGATGAAGAGATGCATGCTTACCCTGCCACGCAAACGCAATTACAATCTGTAAAACGACGTTCCTCTGTAGAAATATCCATATGGAGTTTGTGTGGTGTTTCATTTTTGCGCATCGATTGGTAACATTTGCTTGAAACAAATGCATGTTTTTCTTCAGATGTTTGCAATTTGACATCAAAGACATAACTGTTTAGGAAATAGTTATATCCTCTCTCCTTAGATCTTAACGTRAGAGGTCGTGATCCGAAGAAGTTTAATCCAAAATCTTTGGGTAATGCATTCATCGATGTAACGCAAGGAACCGCCATATTGGATTTAATGTCCGAGGTTGCCTGGTTGCTATGCGTTGCTATGAAGGGGCGGAGCTTGAGGGATCGGTGTATTGAAAAGGTTTTCAGTTTCAGAGGTTGCGCAACGGGGCGCGACATCACAACACCATTCGTCCATCAAAATTGTGAAGTATCTTCAGAAATTCTCGGCTTGAAGACGTTTTCTTATTCAAACTATATTTATTCTTGGTCTTCGATAACGATTATTTCGTTGCGTGAGTTGAGATAATGAATATTTCCTTTCAAGCCTGCGTGACAAAATTTTGCACGATAGTGGAAGGTGTGAAGGCAAACTATTCCGCACAAAGCCACCATTTCCACACATGGTCACCTTTTCCTCGCAAAACTGTCTTCTAATTTTCGCTATTTTCCAGGGCGACTGTCTAAATTTACATCTCAAAGTCTCACCCATTTTTCTATAATTAAAAAAATTGGAGTCGAAACTCGAACGTGGCAAGAGGAAATATTTCCAGAACTATGTCGTGCCAATAAGCAAACATATGGCGTACGATCCCCGCCAAAATTCATGCCTTGAATTTGACATTCAAGTTTCAAATTCAACATACAAATTTTACACTCGACATTCAAGTTTCGAATTTTACGCTCAAGTTTTGAACTTCAGCATTCAAGTTTTATATTCTACATTCATGTTTTAAATTCGACATGCAAGTTTTATATTCTACATTYATGTTTTAAATTCGACATKYAAGTTTTATATTCTACATTCATGTTTTAAATTCGACATKCAAGTTTTATATTCTACATTCATGTTTTAAATTCGACATGTAAGTTTACATAGCGTTCGAGAATGTATAACTCTTCTTTTGTATCTTACATCAATGGGCGACATTTTTATTCGCGCCTTCCCAGGCGTCTTGCGTCTTGTTACTCGTATTTGAGACCGCGACCGGCAGTGTTGGTGAAAATATTCTAAGTGACATGAACCAAGTGCTCGGTATTCTATGCCGAGCAAAGACAAACAATCCTTATTAGGAGCAGTGTAGAGTACAAGAAGCGCTTAATATTCCTCGATAAATCTAGTCTAGTTTGGCTTCTTTAACGTAGGTAATTTATCGTATTTTTTGCGAAAATTGCGACCGGCAGTGTTGGCGAAAATATTCTAAGTGACATGAACCAAGTGCTCCGTATTCTATGCCGAGCGAATACAGACAATCTTTTTTCGAATCAGACAAGACTACAGGAAGCGCTTACTGTAATATACCATAATAAAGTAAGACTAGTTTGATACCCTTAGCTGTAGCCAGTTCTCGTTCGCATGATGAGCTCACGTGTAGGTAGAACCGAAATTGTATGTGTGTTAGACCTAGCGCCCTATCATGCATCTATCGTGAAGGCGTGAAGATGCAAGATGGCGAAAAAAATCGACGTGTTTCAAGACCGTTATAGGCCCAAGAGCTTCACCCTAGCTGTGCGCTAGATAGAGATGCTAGACCATGCTACGGCAGATCCTATTCCAGCCACAACAGAATCCGTCAATTCCCCATTATTTATAAGGATTCGATTTAAATATTCTAATCGAAGCAAAATACCACTGTAATCACCATCCTGACAGGCATCTATACTCTCTAAAGTTTCTTGTACGACGGCAAGAGCGAATTCTGCCGCCATAGCTTGCGCCTGTCTCAAGCAAAAACCTCCTCCCCTCCCCCAAAGTCTTTCCATCTCAAGATCACTGAAGCGTAAACGAAAATATAAAAGTCGAGTTGAAAATGTACGAGGTCGAGTTCGAAATATGATGCGGTGAATTGCAAAATGTACCCAGCGTGTGTCGAATACCAAACTTGGAGATCAGTCATATATAGGGTACTGGTTCAGGTAGTTCAGTCTACAGCTTGGAGTTGAAAATTGCGGCATCCGACTTGAGATTTGAAGGGGCGAGTAAACATCACATAACGAGTAACAAGACGCAAGACGCCTGGGAAGGCGCGAATAAAAATGTCGCCCATTGATGTAAGATACAAAAGAAGAGTTATAAATTCTCGAACGCTATATAAACTTGCATGTCGAATTTAAAACATGAATGTAGAATATRAAACTTGAATGCTGAAGTTCAAAACTTGAGCGTAAAATTCGAAACTTGAATGTCGAGTGTAAAATTTGTATGTTGAATTTGAAACTTGAATGTCAAATTCAAGGCATGAATTTTGGCGGGGATCGTACGCCATACAAACAAACATACATTTATTTTAAGACGTTGAATTTTTAATCATGCGAGGCCAAAAAGAGCGAATTCTTCCCGCACTTTGTGGTGGAATATCTTTTCATTAGTACATCATTTTATCAGAATATGGAGCACATTTGAAGTAAAATCGTGGGTCTGGAAAAGCTGTGTTGGCGAACTGATTTCCGCTCTAAAAAAAGTACTGTGAAAAGCGACGCATATTCACCGACACTTACACTATACAGGGTTTCATTAATTTGCGCATTTTTTAATACTTCTCTAAAAAACATATAAACTCACCCAAATATCAAAACATGAAAGTTATCCCGACATTTTTAATACAAACGATATACAAGACATAGGGATCCCTAGTTCCAACAAATCAAATACGCGAATACAGCCAAACATATATATTCATTTTTTGTTCCGAATTTCTAAGGACAAACACTTTAAAAAAGCACGGCAGGGCTTGAAATAGAATTTTTTTTCAGCCTGCCAAAGTAAAGGAGCATGGTAAAAGGAGTCATTCCAGTAAATTTTGCATGTCATTTTATTATTCATTTGGCAGTGCATCATTATTTTTGCCTGCGATTTGGCCATTGCCAGGCTGCTATTTCGAGCCCTGCACGGGTAAATATAAAACGTTCCTTTGCAACACTATGGGTAACATTATAGCCGAGTATAGGGTCAAATTTCTAGAGATCGGATATTGCTTTAGGCGATCGGCATCGTACCCGCCAACTTCTGACCTTTCTAACCTTTCGCCCGAAAAAATACACAAATAAATAGCCTAGAATATCCTCGTTTTCTAGTTCTATTTACGCTGATAAATAGTCTAACTCCTGTTAAGAAAACTGAGCGTCAAAATGAAGAGTGAAACGACTTGAGGAACATATAAACAACAGTACATAAATTATACTGTGTTGGTCAAACCGGCCGAGGAAAGGCAAACGACTCTAACATGAAGGCAATTTACTCACTCTTCTTAGGAAAATCGAAAACCAAATTAGTCTAAAATTCTCTGTATTTTGTAGAGAATAAAATAATAGGAGAAGAATCGACGTCTTTAACACATTCGGTGCTCGAGTCAACAGAAGCGTTTCAATTATCGCAAATACATATCATTTCCAGACGGACAAGAAAAAGTATTAAATCAACTTTGAAATGGTTGTGCCTTACCTTGGAAGAAACTCTTCGCCCTAAGATAGCTTACTGTTAGTCGAAGAATTGAGATTTTATCCAGCTTCGTTACGGTTTCTTCGGGAAAGGGCAACAATCGAGCCAAGTTATCCAACTCTGCATTTAGGCGATCCCTATGTCTCTTTGACGGATTGCCAGGCCTGGGGAAAACATGGTAAAAACAGGCCTGTATTAAATTCGAGTTGCGTTTGGTAGTAGCAGAGAATATCTTTAGTGTCTGTTGACTCCCATGAAAAGTATTTTACAAAACCAGAAAAGGAGTTTAGAGGTGAGAATTAGATACAAACATCACACCAACTCGGCTCGAATCGCTTCGCTCTCACGAATTCGCAAACTCTCACTCGACCTGACACGAAACATAAAATCTACATTGAAACATCACAACAGACCCGTGAGTTTTCTTCTTCCTTTTTAGTTTGTTATTTGAGTTCATACTCTCTACTTCGGAGGCCGCCAGTTTTGCGAAAGGCCTGCAAATTCCAGCCACAAATTGGAGTGTGTCTTGTTTAAGGCAAGGATGCCGAACAGAATTGTATTTTAATACAAAAGCCACGACACGAGAAAACAACACCAGAACGCCAGTCCATCAATGTATGAGCAACATCTTGAAAATATAATCCAAATCGAGGGTGTATCATAAACTTCCAGTGAGGGAAAATTCGTTTGTTGTAAAGCTAAGCGCTTCTGGAAACGCTGTACCAAGTGATTTGGTCATAGACTTGACTTCGGGTTTGGAAAAGCTGCTGATCAATCTTAACCATTTGAACCCCCAGTTCTCATGATTGACAACGCTATTGTCTGTTTTCTCGTATTGATTGTCAGCTCAAGTTTAATGATATATTCAGGCCCGGAGGAACGCTTGTGATTGGCTGAGTCACACTTTGTCGGCTCTATAATTGGACACTCGCAGTACCGCAACAATAATTTATTCAAATTCTGCACGCTCTCTTGCAATGGACTACAGGGGGGTTTATATATTTGCATGAGAATAATAATACAAAATGATTTTGAGTCACGAAAGAAGATTGCGTCTCGCAAGGGCCTATGTATTTACTGGATCACGCTGAGAACTACAGAATGAGGAAAGCTTAACCTAAATATCGTCCATGATCTTCCCAAAACGCTTCTATTTTCTCCAATCGGGTATTTTATCTTTTTCCCGCAGAACTACCCTTCAGCCGTGAGTTTTAATGCTAATTTCAAAGTGCGTAATAAAAGAACAAGTTTCACATTGCCTCACGCCAGAATTTGTATAAAAGTCGAAAGCTTTTGTCACTAAATGGTAAATGGTTGTTTTCTAAACCTCATATAAATAAACTAAAGGCTAAACGATTTACAAATAAATATTAAGATTTTATTTTTCATGGACCAGGGACGGAGTCAAAGCGGTATTTCGCAAGAGGCCATTACCGCTCCCGAACATGGAACAAAATCCACCCTATCAGATCTATTAGGTCAGTATATAATAATGTGTATGCTTAATGTCATTTTTTGGACCATTTCCTGGACCGTATATATATGTTATTTCATGGTTCTTCGTGTTCCTTTTGCGTGTATATGATTGTACAACATCTGTACAAGTGTTACAGAATTAATACGAGTTCAATAGTTACGGTGGCCCACAAGTCTCACGACAAAACAAAAACTCACGGCAAAACAAACTAAACTCACGGCAAAACAAACTAAACTCACGGCAAAACAAACTAAACTCACGGCAAAACAAACTAAACTCACGGCAAAAGGCAATAAAGATATACAAAAGGCAATAAAGATATACAAAATAAACTTAACTCACGGCAAAATAAAGAAAGCCACGGCAAAATAAACTAGACTCACGGCAGAATAAAGAAAGCCACGGCAGAACAAAGAAAGCCACGGCAGAATACAATGAAGGTTGTGATGGGCAACGACGTATTGGGTTCCCTGTTAATTTTTTTTACCGCGAGCAATTTGTCAGCGGTTTTGATGTTGTAAATACGGCGTCTGGTTAAATACTATTAAATTTACAATGCAAAGTTTATCAATTTATCATAACCTTTAAAAGACTTTAGACTTCTGACCCTGAAACTTTAGACCCTGAAACAATAAGAACGCTTTATAATTATTCCAAAACAAAAAGTTTCAATGATAAGAACCTAAGCTTGACAAGAAATAATTAAAAATGAATGTATGTAATGAAATGAATGGTTTTAGGAGATATTTTTGAAGAGAAAAATCGGTTCAAGGTTTGTCATCTTAGACGCCGGTAGGTGATTTCAAGCCGATCGGTTGTTTGGATGCTCAATGTTCTAGCTCAATCAATCGCGTTTGAATAAAGTTATCAAATGAAMTATCCACCACTTAGCAACATTTTGAGGCAAGTAACAGCCCTTATGGTCAAAGGCCACCTTTCGTCATTTAGTTCTCAGATGTTTTGGCAGTCAGGAAACAAAACAATCCTCAGTCATTCGCGAGGGTTGCCAGTGAAGCTAATGTGGCCCCCAACTAGTTTTATCGCCATAAATGGCAGAGACTTCACCGTACAAGTATGTAGAAATTGAAAGTACACACATTGTAGATATAGGAAATCACCAACYGCAAGAAAATCCACACCAAACCGGTGAGACAGATTTGGCATTCATAATACTTTCTCGCCAGGAGATGTTCACACAACGACGGTCAAATGCAAATGAAGCATAATGAAACTTTTACCCCACAATGCTTCACGCGACTTGATCACCTTCCTCTGATTCTGCC